TTACACGATTCATTGCTGAAGAAAAATGTATTTCATAGAAACACATGCCCCAGCTTCTAAACTCTAGTACAAGAACACTGCCTCACACCCATCAGCTGCCAAGTGAACCCTTAAACATGAGAGGGAATGGGGAGGCTGCAGGCAGTGGAAAGTTTCAAACCTCCCTCAGCTGGATAGACAAGAAAATTCAACATTGTGTAATGTAAAAGTCAACAATTAGTATGAGAAAAAGGGAAAAACAAAAGAACATATGTGAAAAAGAGACCTGATTTTTGTCTTGATAGTGTAACTTCATCAAAGCGACAGGAACGGTGATTTTGTTAATACTATGTCTACCAAAGTCAATGAAATTGTTATAATGAAGAGTAGAATTAAGCCCAATGACTTATTATTTGAAAAGAAGAAGGGCTTTTTAAGGAATGCATTTTAACATTTTTATAGCAATAGTCCTCTGTTTGGTGAGAAAAGTTTAAAACAGTAAACATGGTTTTTGCTGTTCTCACGAGCATATTCGACTCTTCTTATGAAATCCAATTTTGAAAAATCAATGGAATTGCTTAAGTGTACTGCATCCTCTGCCATAGAACATGTTTTGCCATATTAGCCAGAAGCTTGGTTGCTTTTGCTTTGTTTACAAGCCCAAGTGATTTGAAAAAAAATTATCAATTCCTGTGCAAAGGATCACAGTTTCTGTTAACTCTGTTTCTGGGGCCCTTGTGGTGCTATTAAATGGAATTCTCCCTTGAAGGTCTGGTTACCACAAGTTGGTCCCAGCCACAGAGAACAGCAGCCTTACACACAATGAACAATATTTTTCATTGTAGATATCTTGGGCATTTAGGAAATGGATTATATTTCATTTGAAAAGTCTAAGATGCAATTTTACTTTGTATAATATTTTAATTTATTTATTTTAATTTATGCAAAAACAGCAGCTATTGAGCCAGTACACCCTGATGACTCCCTCTGCATCACATCAGCAAAACACATATTGAAAATGCTAAAAAGTATTCATTTACTTGACTTCCTAACAGCCCTTACATAGTCATTATGATCAGGAATTTTAAGATCATTGAATTGATTCAAGTAGGAGAAAAGTATTTACTTCAGTCAGTATGCTCCCATACAAAGTCTCCAAAGCAGATTGGAATTTGATGCAGACAACTAGAATACTCTGTCCCATTTCACCTGGGGATCCTGAAAAAAATTAAGTATTTTCTTTCAATGTCTTCCTTGTGCTTTGTCTTTGAAAATGAGAATTAAGCTTAAAAATAAATCACAATTACATAAAGAGTGAGATTTCTATAATATGTAACTGACCTTACATTCCTGGTCTGATCAAAACTCTGAGCTTATTCTTATATCAGGGATGGGATCAAGGAGGAGAGACATTTTCCATTGGAAGACCCAGCCTGAGGAACTGAAATAGCTGACCTCATACTTTTGCTCATGATAAATACATTAATATAAATATATTTTAAAAATATTGCATGCTTTAATTCATATTATTAAATTACAGCAGATGAGCAGGACCCAAAGCAGACTGCTGAATTCAGAAAGGTCGGTGTAACCACTCTAAAAATACCAGGGTGTAATCAACGTTGCTGCTGTGGCAGATGGGTCTGGGGGACCTGTGTGGTTGTGGTTCACAGCTCTGAAAATGCACTTGGGTTCACAGTCCCTCTTAATATCACCAATGAAATGTCTTAATATAAAAATGGGATCTCTGTAAGTGTGGTAGGTGAGTGTCCCTTTCTCACCTTCCCACTACCATTTTTTGTTCGCTTTGATTTCTTTGCTGGTTATTTTTTTTTTTTCTCCCCAGAACTTTCCACATAGAAATTTAAACTTGAAGTGTCATTACCTCACTGAAACTAATCTGTCGCTATTATTCCTCATTACCTTTTATCTTCTAATTGCTCTTTAGAGCTTCATACAATCTGCATATTACATTACTCTATGTGTGCTTTACTAGTCCTGATTTTTTTAATAAGCAACATGGTCAATATATACAAATGGTAAGCACCAACCTGATTTGCTATCTGCTGTAATTGGATTCTGCCTTTAATTACAGGTGGTAATGACATTTTAAGCACCTTATACAGGTGTTGGAGGGGGTGGGGGTTATGAAATGTTAAGCAACATTAAGAAATTCTAAGCTTCTGGAGTGCTGCCAAGTTTCAGAGGTGCCTTTCAACTCCAAATAGCGATTTTCATGTGAGGATAATTATAGCTCTGGCCACCTGGACTGCTCCTGTTGGAGTCAGGCAAAGAAGAGGAGTGAGCTTGTCTGCAGGCCACACACCACATCTTCTCTCTTTATTTCTGTTTTCATTTAAAATCACTTCAAATATATCATGGCCTGCATTCTGATTCCTAAAAATACTGCAGGACCATCTTTTTGTGTGTGTTTGCTGGCCAAAACCAGCGGCAGAATATATTGTTCTGTATTGGCAGCATAGCTGGGGTTGGATGACCTTGGAAAATGTACTTGAATTTTTTTGATAGCCTCCTTGATCTTGGGGGAGTTTTAATTCACATCTATAATTCCAGCCTGAGAAAATTAGACAGAGATTTGTTTTGGAACTGATGGGAAAATATATAGCCAGCAAAAGGAGTTACCTTTTCTTTCATTAGTCATGCAGCTTCTCCTAGAAAATAACTTTTCCCTAGCAATAGCACTTAAAACTCAGCATTTCTGTGATTAACACTAACTCTCCTGATTCTTCTGTCCTGACTTTTTGAAAAGAAAGTGAAAGACACAGCACTTTCCCTGGAAAGATGTGTCCCACCAAATGTGCACCTTGGGACATGTAGGGGAACAGCCCTGGGGGGTTTAGCCTGGACAAAAGGAGGCTCAGGGGGGATTTTATTGCTCTCTGCACTACCTGAAAGATTATACCTGGTGGGGATTGGTCTCTTCTCCCAAGTAAAAAGCAATAGGGCAAGAGGATCTTGCTGCTGTCATCACCAAGAGAGGTTTAAATTGAATATTAAGGAAAATATATTCACTGGAAAGGTGGTCAGGCATTGGAACAGGCAGCCCAAGGAAGTGGTGGAGTCACTATGCCTGTAAGTGTTCAAAAGACCACCTGAGATGTTTCACTTGGGGACATGGTTTAGTGGTGAAGATGGCAGTGCTGGGTTAAGGGTTGGATTCCATGATTTCCCAGATCCTTTCCAATCTAAATGATCCCATGCTGTCTGTGTAAAAAATTTCTGCATTTGAAATGTGAAAACAAGCAAATATCCTTTAATGTATTCTGAATAAAATTCAAAATTCAGGAAGAGCTAAAGGTGAAGCTTCCATGGAGGCTTGTCTTGATTGACTCTACCAAATTATCTAAATGACCTTTTCTTAGTATTATAATATCAGGGTGATTGGCATGCCAGAAATAAGATTTTATTTCTCCTTGTGGGGGATCCAACCTCTGGCTGTATGTATAGATCTACTTTATATTTCATTCACAAGAACATGTATTTATATATATATATATATATATATATATATATATAACAGCTTATCTATTTTTGCTTACATAAAAATACCCCAAATCACTAATAAATGGTTTATTATAATAATATTTAATAATGGACCTCATTGATTGCAGCTCATTCAAATTGATTCACTCTAGACAGTGGCAGTACTTTTTCCTCTCCACAGTTAATGTTGAAATGAATTAAATGTGTGAAGTTTTCTCCTAACTTCTCTGCATTTATGCCAAAGACAAGGGAGAGCATCCTGAAAACTAAGCAAGCCAGTTGTTACCATGGTTTTAATTTTCTGGCTTTTTTAATTCTCAATTTTTCTTTAACTCAGGAAAAAGTGTTGTCTAGACAAGGTGGCCCAGCTGAACATTGAAAATGAACAAGGTAAGGGCAGCAAGAGACAGAAAAAGCAGTCAGGGCAGAGGAAGGCAGTGACTTTGGGGGTGTTTGCCACAGCTGATGTGTGTTTTTTTTCCAGTTCTCACCTCCCTGTGCAATCGCAGGCTGAGCTCTGTTCTCTGTCCTTGTTTATATATGATGTCACAGCAAGAAGACAAGGTGCCATTTGTTTTACTTGAAAGGTCAAATTGAAGCTATTTGCCTTTAATCTGAGAGATTTCAGCCATAGCAAAATAAAATTTTAAAATTTGGCCTAAGCAAGGCCCCTAACCCCTCTATATCACAGAGAAATAAGTTAAACATTGAATTGTATGTTGGTCAATTGCTTCAAAATTGTTCAACTCACTTTTCAGTCCCTGGTGTCAGTTATTCTCTGTGTGAAAGAGAATTAATTCTTCCATATTTGGGATGTAATTCTGTAAATTTTAGCCTGTCATTAACAAAAATAAAAGGATGTCAGGATCTATTTTAACTGCTTTAAACCCATGCACTGAAGTCACGTTTAATGTGAAGAATATGGATGATCCCATCCCTGATAATAAATGCATTGGGGCGTCAGATGTGCCACTGGGCTCCTGGGGCTGGCTGGAGATTTGGATGTCTCAGCTAAGCCATGGTGACTGACCCTAGACTGACCCTATTTGATGCCTTTGGCAGGGCTACTTGTTCATTTTGTCACTTTTAATTTTGTTTTGTTACTAGTATAGTGCTTGAAATTAAGGTTCAAATTTTATTTTCTCTTGGCCAGGAAAAAAAAGAAGAAAGACATATCTCTACAGTGTTTACACGAATATTGACCACAAGGTGAGCAGGACGCTCCTCTTTTTTTTGTGAGAAGCCTGCTTGTCAGCATGCCAGTGATAGATCAGATGTAAAGAAAATCACTTCTGCAAAACCAATTTGCTAAGGGGCTTGTAAAATCCATTTTTAAAAAGTTACTGAGGCAAAAAACCCCACGAAGGACCAGCCAACCAGATATTTTGATTGGCTCTTCAAGGTCAAAACCTGATTACTAATTCATCAAATGCCTTACTGGTAGCGCTGCTTGAAGAGCAAACTCTGTGCAGATGTTCTACCTAATAATGCCAAAATGGAAAGAGTGCTTTACTCACTTTTGGCAGAGCTGCAGTCGTAGGAGCCGTGCCCTCCATGGCACCAGCAGCCCAGCTCCGTGCAGCGCCCGCGGCCGCTGCAGAGCGCGGGACACCGGAGAGCAGCCAGGATCTCCTCCCAGGAAGCAGATGGCTGGTTTCCAACTGGGAACTCTCCCTTCCTGCTCCCCAGCACTCTCCTTTCACACTCATTTTCCAAAAGGGCTATCAGTGCGCTCACCCAAGCCACATCATCTTTGAGCTGCAGGTCCAGTAGGCAAATATCAATTGCCTCATCCAGGTGTTTTGCCAGGAGGCCTTTACATGCCAAGCCAATGGTGGAATTTGCAAGAATTTGGTGGCAAATCTCCTGAGCTTTGGTGACAGTCAGGCCATTGGGAGTGGGCCATGACAGTGGAAATTTCATCCGATCTCCTTCAAAGTAGTCCTCGGGGAAAAAATAGGCAAAGCTCTCTGAGTGTCTCTGGGCAGGGCCATGCAGTGGGTGAAAGGATGAGTATTTAAAATACTTGTCTTGCCTCTTTGCTTTCCTTAGGTCTCCTGTTAGCTTGGTAGAGTTGATGGAACTGTTGCTATTCATGGAAACATGTGGGAGGGGCTTTAGTGGGACCTCGGGGCTTCTGCGCTTTTGGACTGATTTAGAAAAATATCTTTGACCAAAAGTCTTGGGCAGTGGTTCGGCATCTTTTCTCAAAGTTGGCCCCGTTACTGTGTGAGTGACAAACTCAGATGTAACATCCAGGTATGGGATTGCAAAGCTGTGGTCCACATGGTCATCGTGGCAACCAGAGAGCTCAGGGGAAGGCGTCTGAAAGGCATTTTTTGTGTCTACCATGGGGACAGGCTTGGTGCTCCCCTTCTGGCATCTGCAGAAACTTTTCCTTTGCTTCCTCTCAGAGGGTGCTGGAGTCTTGTCAAATAAACTCTTCCCTGGAGGAATTCTGATTTAGAAATAGGAAGGGATTAGAAGGAGAAAACTTTCGACAAATTAGTCTATCTACAAGGAAACCTTCACTGAGGGTAGGGTAAGTATAAATTCCCAATCTACAAAAGTACTTGAGAAAACTCTTACGTTTAACCTCTGTTTTCTTTAGTCACTTTTGCACTGCCCTTCTTGAGTTGTCTTGTGTGTTTTCTAACACTTCATGGAGACTTTTCATACCGGATGTTTAAGTGGTTTGCTGGAGCATTGCCTAACTGCTTGACTTTTCTTTGCAGGACTTTCTCTGAAGTGCACATTACTCTGTGTATTATACATGAAATAAGGCCTGGGATTTGTCCCTGGGTGACACAGCTAACTCTTGGAGAATGACAAAAAAGTCGTGTTTCAAATCCTATATGATGGATATCATCTTTATCTGTGTGCCTGATCTGCCCTCTAAGTGTATATTGCTAACTTTTTTATTTTTGCATACTTCATTTAACTATTTCCTTCTACTAGAGTTTTTTTTATTTTTTTATTTCAATACAAAGCACTTCTATATTGATCACAGGGCCAGGCTATCATATTAACTGAGATGATTCTCTTCCCCCTTTTAAATTTAGCCTTTAATGATGGAGAAACTCCTAGAGGCTTGAGTTTGAGTAAAGAGCCATGATTCAAGTTTCTTCAGAAATCTCATATATCTTATTGATCTTATTTGTGCAACACAAGAGGAATTCTAGAGCTCCATAGGAAAGGATATGTTTCTTGTCCCAACATTTGGCAGAATGTCATTACCAGACAAATTTGAAATAGCACCAAAAATTAAAATAATTTTGGCATTAATTTTGTCTTGCAGCCAAAATGTTGGGGTTTCAGGAAAGTGAAAGCATTTGCCAACATATTTGAGCCAAACACTAGATACTGTTGTTGGAAACTGTAATTGCCTTTATCCAATTTGTTAGAAATGCATTTTAAATGGCATATTTGATATTACCATTCTAATCATTGACACAATCATAACTTTTAAATAGAACATCTCAGTGACACTGGCAAAATGAACCTATTTATCCTCCTGAAACATGAGCACAAACATTTGCGGACCTGTTTTGCCCAAAGTGTGGGCTCAGCAGGACACAGTATGAGATAAAAGGGTGGTTTTCATGCTCATGGAAATGCACAAGCTGTTCTGCACTTCCCTGTAGTCCAGGAAAATCAAACATTTTTCATGACTGAGACACTTGTCCTTTGGACAAAACATTTTAGTATCTGAATGAGTGTCCTTCACATCCCATTCTTCTGGTTGTAATAAAGGGGTTATCTGCCCCTGAAGCTTCCCTGATTCAGCATCAAGTAAATTTAAACCTAGACTAAGGCAGCAGAAGAAGATCCTCCTTTGATATAATACTACATAAACTATTGTAAATATTATTTGTTTAATAAAAAAATAAATCAATCACATAAACTGGTCCAGAATCAGGACAGAAACAGCACACCAATGAAAATTTCACTAAAATGAAACTATTTTGCCTTGATATTTTACTGAAACAAAATCCTCTGTTTTTCATACATTAAACCAATTACTTCTTTTGGTCAGCCCCTGTCCATGGAACATAGGTGTATGGTGTGGAAAGAATGGAAACCTCATCCTTCCTCACAGCCAGGCACATACCAGCAGTTCCTCAGCAAGCTCAGATGTGCCCTCTGTCCCCTGCATGAGATAATAAAACCATAATTCCTTTGAGCCACCCACTATAATCCAGGAAAAACTAAAAAAAGTTTTTTTCATCTAATTGAGTTGGATGCTATTATAGAGAAAGTGTCCAGAATTTAACAGCATTTCTTCTGGTTTCTTGGTATATTTTTAAATGTTTGAAGATTTTATTTTGCCTACTTAAATCACATGTTTGAAAATTCATCTCTTCTCTGGTTGCTATTTAATGGCTGGGAAGCTCTGATGTTGTTTTATTGTTTAAAAGTTGTGTTGGAAATCTGGTGTGTAAAACTGATCTGTGCATGCAGGGCCCTGCAGCTGCTTGAGAGAGGTGGGAGCCAGGGAAAGCTCTGAACTGCCAGATGGTGGGCACTCAGATTAGCTTCAGGTGCTGGAGAAAACCTAGCACACTTTCAGGGTTATTTAAAATTAAATTAAAAACAGCAACAATAAAGCTTTTGGTTTTTACTGGGCTGTTTCTCAGTGAGTGGATCAGAGAATGATCCAGTCTCCTCTGGAGGTGACCTTAATTTTTCTGTTGGCTTGGTTTTTAACCAGGTTCTGAGGAGTCTTGAGAATCCATCCTTGGCAGTAGTGCAACATGAAACTCACCACCCCTCTTGCCCTTCTCACTTAGCAGGAGCTTCTGCCTTCCCTGAAGAATCTCCATCACACAGCTCTAGAAAACTCCTCAGTGTTTCATAACTAAATTCCTTTGCACTGCGCTTTGGCTTCAGCTTTTACAACAAAATTACTTTGAACAAGTACTACAAGTACTCCTAAGGACCTTTTAGCCCTTTTCTGGGGTAATGAGTTGTTGGTTGGTTCTTGCACCAAGCTATTTCTCCATTTGCCTTCCCAGAAGCAATCTCTGACTGATTACCCCATTATTAGGATGTCGATGATGGCTGTCGAATTCAAAATAGTAGAATTTATAATGACAGGCCAAAATAGACATTAAATAGACCATAGACATTACTTAGACCCACTGAAAAGAACTAGAATATGGCAGAGGTGCTTGTTTATTTTCGGAAGTGTAAGAAGTCTAAAAATTCAGTGTTCCTATAGGATTGTGCTGGGCTCCCATGTACAGATGAAAAGCAATGTTGCAGTGTTTTGCCTTCTTTTTCCTTACTTCACAAACCAGGCTACACAAACAAACCCATTTTGGTTTTAGGAACACCTATTAGGCATGTTTGAAGTTCAGCAACAGAAATTAAAATGTGGCATAGGGATAGAGACGGGAGTAGGGATAGGGACAGGGACTGAGACAGGGAGATGTCAGAATCAGACTCCTGGCTCTGTTTCCAAACCATCTGTCCCAGAAAGTACAAGTTTTCAGAGCTCACTGTCATCATTAGTAGAGTTGATATTAGGTTTTAGCATGATACATATATTACCAGCCTTTGTCAAAATGTAACATTTAATCTATACTCACATATTGTAATTAGCATTCAGGAATAAAAGAACAAGAGAAATTCGAAACCCTTAATTAATCCCTATTGTCAGCTACCTACATTTTCAAGTGTGGGTGAGAACTGCATTTTTTTAACAGCTGAGAGGGATCTTAACACAGCTGTTAACATGACATCACTTGTGAATATAAAACTTCTCTCTTGGTAATGTGTTTTGTGCTGACTGAAAATTAAGCCCCTGTGCTGCTGGGATGGAGATGGGTCTTCAGGCTTCTCCCTTTGCTTAAGGAGATCTCTCTGTCAGGCCATTAGGGGAGTCTGTAATGAAATAAACCCATCAAGGCCATGTGGAACACTGCTGGGAGCATCTCCTGGCTGGGGTCTCTGGCTTTGTACCTCCACTCCTCTATGAAGTCTTCCTCGGGCACGTTGTTGAGGTCGTTGTGAGCCGTCCCATCAAAGAGGCCACACAAGCCCCGGGTGCTGTTGAAGTCCCTGCCCGGTGTCCTCACTGTCACACCCATTCCCCACTCGCTCAGGTCCGCTCGAACAAATGCTCCCGAAGGGAACACGATCTGAAGAGGAAAGAAAAAAAAAAACCAGCCCCAGTGAATTGAAGCTCTTACCAAGCTTTTTATGCAATAAAAAAGTCTCTTTCCATAAACGAAAATTTCAAAGCAGGACGTTAGCGATGGCGGAGGTAATTTAAGATCACTTAGAAACACCATAAATATTTATTTGTGCTATTATTTAGCTTGCTTTCAGATTCCATGGCATTAATATCTGATAGCATTACATAAATATATAACTGCATGAGTACTTTCTTCTTAAATTAATATTTGCATCCATTGAAGTTTTCACAGTGGTAAGTTACCAGCTAATTTTTGAAGTGACTTCCATGACAATAAGGCCACCCTTGTGTCTTTTATATTAATAATTTTATAATAATAACTTTTTTTAAAGAAACTGCCAAGATTGAAAAACAATCTTTCTTCCTTCTGAACAATTGTTTCATTTTCCAAGGCTGGATTATCCAGAAAATGATTGTGTTTTAAAGTGGATAAAGCAATTTTCTCATTAAAGTGCTAGTGGTAGGCTTACACTGACCTTTAAAAGGAAAAAAACCAACTTGGCAGGGTTCAAAACAAGAAGTAACTGTGTGGATAATGGATTTTTCAGATTAGTTTACTAACCAAATAATAAAAAGGAAAAAAAAAAGCAAAAAGAAAATACCTGTTCAACTGATTTTTTTTTTATTTGCTGTATTTTTACAGGTTAAAAAAACTATTTGAAAATTATCTGGGCCTGGAGAGGGAGGAGAAATACACTATCCTGATAAGTAGCATTAATACTTTCTTTTTATCCAAAATGAAATATTTTCAGTTAATCTTAAAAAAATACATTAGAGTTGCAAACATCTCATTATAATAATTTCAAAATAACTATTTTCCCTTTTTAAGTGGCCCCTGCCTAAATATAATTTATTCATTCAAATAATGTCCTTTGTTTTCCTTTATTTTGGGTGGAGATTTTCTGGTCCCTTTGAAGTTCCTCCCCATCAAATCTACTCATATCTGTGAAGGCGTAACAAACTCATATGTTTATTCTTGTGCTTGAATCCAGAGTTTACTCAGAGTTTGGCTTCACTAAATTATAATTCTGCCCATTTTAGTTCTCCATTACTTCAGGCTTTTTCTAGAGGGCTGTGTGTAAAACCCTCCCAATCAGAACTGCACGAGCTGCCCAGTCTTCTGTGCTGTCCAGATTAATATTTCCAGGTGTGGATTTATTTTGGGAGTTTGGAGGGCTCTAACCCTTTCCCTTCCTGTTGCCTGGGGCAATGCATCCAACCTGAATTTAATGCTGCTAATTGAGGCTTCAAAGAATGTTTTTTGAGACCTGAGTTTGCAGTTTTTTAGTGACTGCCTGGTGGAAGCTGCCACTTTGCATGACCCAACCCCATTCCAATCCTCCTTGAACGTTGTGGGAGCCAGTTCCTGAGCTGCATGAGGATAATGATGGACAAGTGCAGGGAGAACTGGGGTGCACCCTGCTTGGTGGTGTGCTCAGGGATCTTGTTCACTGCTGCACGGTTCCTGTAGACCCCCAGTCATGTCACAGCAGGGTTCATATTGTGTCCCCAGTCTGCCCTGATTTGTTTCCCCGAGTTTTACCTCAGGTGTAAATGAGAATATGGATTCCTTGCTACGATTATCCTAGGAATAAAACAGTAATTATATTGCATTCAGTTGCAAAATGAAATGACAGCTTGATTCCTGCTTTTTCTCTATTCTATAATTAACAGACTTTCAATTACTACCTTCCTGAGGTCTATTCCAAGTGAGACCACAAGGAGAGCCAAGCACAGGCACTTCCTGCATCATTCTGGCTCTGCTGTGGATCGATCCTCATCCAAAGCATTTCATGGCAGTAAATCTTGATGATACAACTCGAGGATAAAATTATCTTCTTGGCCATAATATGCAGCTCTTTTCCTTACCAAAACCCCTGGTGCAGCCTGCTCTTATTTTTCTAGTAATTTCAGTATATTAGTATGGATAAGCAATACTTATGCAAAGTAAGTTGTGGCCATATATTTGTTTAGGCAAATGCTTTATGTTACAGCAAATGTTGCACATTTACAGCCCATTTTCATAGCTTTTGGGGGCTCTCTGGATCTGACTAATAGCATCTTACTGCTCCACTCAAAAACTCCATTACTCTGCTACCTGTGATCTTTCGTTGCATATTTATATCTTGAGCTCTGCAAAGAAATTTGCTTTATGTGATGTGCTTGGGTAGTGCCTGGCATAAGCAAACACGGAGTGGGCTGCCGTGCTGCAGAGAGTAAGCAGTGCTACCAGAGCTCCGCTGTGTCGCCAAGAAATTTCCAGAGGTATTTGTTTTGTTTTGTTTTACAGTTTGCTAAACCAACACTTTAACCAGCTACTTCCCTGCCTGCTGTTTTGCAGTACATTTGGCTGGAGGCACTCTGATGGCTTCAGATATTTTTGTAGCAACTTCATTGATAACGCAGAAATATTAAACACGTGTTCTCAAAGCACAACCACCACAAGAGCGCTCAACCATCCACGCACATACTGTTATTTTCCTGCCTCCATATGACTTCAGGATCTTGACTTGTGGCGATGTCTCGGTGCTTTTGATGGTCAGCTGGGGCCTGCTGTCCTGAAAGTGGCCATTGCAGGTGTCCAGCACCACGGTGTCACCCCCTTCTCGTGCAGCTACCCCGCAGTTGCAGGCGGTGGCGGAGCGGTGGCCACCACAATCCCACTGCCGGACGTGCACCTCGAACGCCCGCGACTCGCTGCGGCACAGCAGGAACGTCCCGATTTTGTGGCTGTCGTAGCGCCTGAACAGCCACAAAGAAACAAAGACAGGGTTAGACACCCTCAGCATGTACCTGTGTGTCGCCACAGGCCTCCAGCTGGGTAATAATTAGCATTGACTCCATGATTGCAGAAGGCTGATCAATTGCTTTATTAAATCATCTTATACTATATTATACTATACTTAGCCCATCCCATCCAGCCTTGACCTAACTGGTCAATCAATCCAAACACCATCCAGTGTCTAATTAAGAAATCACTTTTTGGTAAACAAATCTCCATGACACATTCTTCATGCGCACAACAGCAGGTGCAACAAGTGGAGATAAGAATTGTGTCTCATTCTTTTCTCTGATTTTCTCACAGCCTTCCCCAGGAAAATGCCCGGGAAAGTCTGTGCCTGCTCTCTGTGGCCAGAGAGCTGCTGCCACACCTGTGTTGAGTATTTGTTGGCACTCTTGCTCCATAATTAGAGCAGAGTGCTGGCTGGCCTTGGAGGAGGGAACCATGCACACATGGGGAAGAGTTTCTCTGGCTCTGTATCCAAGGGAACGCCACAGCATTTGCTAGCTGGAAGCGCCTAAGAATTCCTGTGAAAAGCAGGACTTGTGTCCCAGCTGCTGCCATGGCAATGGGCATAGATAAAAAGGGTAAATATTTGATATAAAACAAATGGGAAGAAGTTTCCTGCCTCCAGGTCTTAATAAATGTATTTTGGTTCTAACTGGTTGCTTTTAGAGCACAATGTTCTTCAAAGGGAAATCGGTGCTCAAATAACCTCTTCTGTGACTAATCACCAAATATTTCAAGTCTGGCTGTGGCTAGGTAAAGGCTTCCAATGAAAATCTGGGATTCTGCTGAAAGCCAGCTAAAATGAAGTTTGTTCCTCCCCCTCAACGATTTGCCCCTAAGCACAGCTTTCACACTCAATGAATCAGCAATCAGCAAAAGCCAGCGTGGAGAACAATTTAGGACTTTCATTCTTTCCTATAAGGAACATCCCTGCTCCATCTGGGTGAGGCAAGAGCAGGATAAGATAAATTTAATAACTTTGCAAGTGTTTGGTCTCTGCATGAACCATCTGGAACCTCTGGGGTTTCAACAACAGAGGCCTGTGAGAGGGCCCTTTTCTGCTTGTTCTTTGTGCTCTCACTCCATAAACTTGTCTCATTCTCACTCTTTTTTATTCTCTTATATAAAAGGATATAGTAGCCATATACTTAATATTTGTTGTTGATGTTTTCCCCCTATAAGCCAACAACTTCCATCTTTAAAAACAATGGATTATTCTGCTTTCTTTTAAGGCGCTGCAATTCCATATTAGTTCATTTCATAAATTTTTATGAAATGAACTAATATGGAAACTAAACTATATGCTTATAATAAGAAGCTTTATTATTTTCTACAATATAAAGCATTAGAAGGAATGTATAAAATGTTTCTGCTAAGTAACAGGATTATTTTTAAAACAGTGCCATACAAACATCCACATTGTTTCAGGCCATTAATGTTTCTTATGCAGAGGAACAAATAGCTTGCAAACTGACTTTTTCACATGCATATTTCTGTGTTTTGCTCCTCTTCAGAAAAAAAAGCTATAGATAACTTTGTAGCTTAAAACACAGTAAAAAATTTAAACTCCAGCTCCTTTTCTCTGATAGAAAAAACATCTGACTTTATCTTTCATCTTGAAAAACTTAGGTTGGCCATAAAGTGATAAGATATTGAATGGTTCTGTCTCATCCTATTTTCTAATCAGATACATAAATCCTGTATTACACTGCATAGATGCTGCTGCTAAGATTGATCAGAACTAAAGACAACATAAAAAATAGATAATCTCTTTCAACCTCTAGTACTCACTCCATTTGGATATCTTTGTGGGGGAGAAAGAGGATATTTTGTGAGAGCACCTTCCACAGGTTCCTTCTCCAGAATCAGCTTAGGAGAGGTGTTTAAGGAGGCTGATGGGAAATCAGGCATCAGGCTGGCTGTACCCAGACTAATCATCTCTGTCTGGTAAAGAAGGCTCTTTTTTGCATATGCATATAAATGTCATTGCAGTCAGGGGAGCTATTTATTGCTTAATAATCACTGACAGTGGATCCAACCAAGCCCTCCTGGAAGTCACTCTGAGTCCTTCAATTAAGTCATGACATAGATTGCATAGCACATAATGAACCTGCACTGTGCCTAAATCAGAGCTTTCAGGCACCTTCGAGTCAGTTGAATGGATAATTGGATGTAGTCAGGTAAACTTCTGTGATGTTTATACAACTGTAATTGTGATAATGATTCTTTGGACAACCTTAGAGTTGCCTGTATTACTAAATGCCTGAAGTAGGCTCAGAGCAACTCTTGCACGAGGGAGTTCTACGTGTTCCTTGTGAACCAGGCACCACTGTTTGTGTCTAAATCTCCCTCCACAGTGCACTTCCCCATCCTGCTTCCCTGATAGTCTGCAGCAGTGGGCAGACTGGATGAAAAGGGCTTCCCTCCCTCCCCCTCTGTGTGCTTAGATTGTATTCCAAGGGGGGAAGCAAGTTCTTGTCCTGGCACAAAGTCATGGCTTGGGTTATGCTCTTTATCCAGTAACTATAAAACACTCCTGAGTGATTGTTGATGGCAGTGAGCTTCTAGAGGAATAATTTCTGTTGGTAAATCATAAGAGAGGGACAGAAGGGGGTACAGACATATGTAAACAACGACTTCCTAGTAGTGTTCAATTAACTCCCATCCTGCACTTCCTCTCCACCAAACTGCACTTTACCTTTGTGTTAATTCAGTGTTTTTTGTGGCCTTTCCTGAAGGTTTTCCACCACAGCTTTGCCACCAAATGATTTTATTTGTTGGCATGGCGCTCCAGGCTCCTTCTCTCTTTGCTACTAGGAACTATTTTGTGGTAGGCTTGACCCTATGAAGAGCTGGGTGACGCTGAAGGACGTTCTCTGCTTTCAGAGTGTTCATCCCACCACGTTGTTCTCAGAGCAGGTGTTGGATTGTATTCAGCAGGCACTGGATGCCTGGGGACAACCAAACTGCTGAAGACTATCAAAACCCCAGCACCTGGCAGGGCTACTCATGCCCAAGACTTAGCTGTGGGCTCCTGTGATGAAAGCCATTAAAGCCAACAGGCAAATGCTGCCATTTCCTTGGTGATGATACTACTGTGATAATATAGATTAGTGTAAATTTTTGAGACGTCTGAAAAATCTTTTAACCTTTTTTTTTTTTTGTTAGGCAAAATGCAAAATAACATAAATGATGTATATAGTTCCCCAATAAAAGAAAAAAGAAAAAAAATTCCTTTTTACTTTGCCCTAAAAGGATTTTCTGCATATTTAGTTTTAAGCTAGTACTTAATATTTAAGAATCTGCGATTTATGGCGTGAAAAGCTTTTATATTTATAATGTGCCATAACCAGTAATGAGGGCTATACTTTTGCTTTACCAGGCTTTCACATTTGTTTAATTTAGAAGGTACTTTGCTATAAAAGGAAGTGCTCTCTCTGGATTTTAGCTGGTATAATTAACATTATTTCACATCTACGCTCCAATATACACAAATTGATTGTGCTTATGCTGTAAAATATGACACATTCTTCTTTGATTTTCAGTCACTGCCTTTGGTGAAAAGAATGAAAAGATTGCAAGATAAATATTCCTACAGACATATATTAGCAGGAGGCACAGGAAAGGGGAGTGTTATTAAGGAGTGGGAGTTGGGTATTTCAGTTGTCTAATGAATAGCTAACTACCTCAGATGTAATGTGAGCTCACTATGTCAGATTAAAACCATTGGAAATATTACAATAGAAGTTAAAATTACATTGGAAGTGGCCGTTTCAGTAAGAAAATTGTACTGCCAATAAGCAAAACACTTCCAGTCTTTCATTTTTTGTACCATTTTTCAATTTTCCAAATTTATTCAAATAAATATTTTTGTTGAAGTCAAATTTTAATTTTTTAAATGAATTTAATTTAAATTTTGAAACCACATAAAGGTTCTCATTTCAAACACATTTTCCCACCAGATTCCCTTCCATGAAAAAAGAGGAATGCTTCCCTTCCAGACCTCTGTGTCAGCCTTTGCCTTCAGATTATAGTTTTGTACCAGGACAGAAGCAGGAATTGCTTTCCTCACTCCTTAAAGACAGAGCTTTAAAATACTTTGCTAACGTGGTAACAATTTTTTTGGACAGGCAATCAGAGAAGTTGCTTAACTGATGTGCAATAAGATAGCCTAATCATTATAATAATTGAAAGAGAAATTATTTACAATAATAAATGGGAATATAAGTAGAAGTAATGGGACTGTGAAATGATGGGTAAGAAATTTGGCTGAATATCAAGAACTGATACATCTTAGGGAAATAACCTAGTTATTGAGATGGAGGAAGTCTTATCAGTGTGGCTCATTTAAAGCTGCACTGGACAGAACAGTGGTGAATGTTTTTCCACAAGGAACAAAATGCAGCTTTTGGGGAGCCAAGCTGATCCTGGGTTTTTCCTTTTTTGAGTCTGTGTGACTGAGGCAGGATGACACAGACAGATGGGCTTTTCCAAACTCCCTGGGTCAGAACAGAGCATAAATTGCTTAGAAGCATTTCTGTGTGATATCAACAATAGGATTAAAAAACGAGTTATTCAGATAAAATTGCTTTATTTGGTTTTAGACCTTTTTTTTTTCCCCCCATGGAAGCAATGTAAAAATGTGCTTCATGGCTGGAAGGGTGTCCCCATTCCAAGAGGTATTTTTCAGCTATTTATAACTCCCTAAACCCAAGAATCTGACAGATCACTGCCTGTTCCCAGCCCTAAATCAAAAGGGAGTATTTTGGAATATAAATGTATAGAGAGGTTTGAAATAATACTCTGATCTAGTTTAATATCCCAGAGTTGAAGTAATTGCAGCTACATGAGGTATGGGAATACCTTTAAACCTCTTGCAGCTCTAATGAATCTTCTTAAGCAAAAAAAGCACCCAAACTTGTATGAAACAAGTTCCTGGCCACATTTAAATGCTGTTCAGCAAAGCAGAAGGGGGACTGGGAAACCACGGATAAGCAGAGTTAATCTCCTCTCAGACTGCCCAATTTATGTGAAATCTCTGTTAGAAGCAGAAGTGCAACCTTTAATGGAGTCACTGCCTTTCTTACTCACAGTTCACCAGCAGATTTTCCAGCTTTGACATAATTTCAGACGTCACCTCCAGAGCATGTTGGACTGAAATTGGGATATCAGGATAGCAGAAATTCACACCTGCCAAGCCCTTGTGCATGCTGTGCACCCAAAGTCATTGTCTGTGCCATCAGGAGGTTAATGGTGGAATGACAAAGTTGGAATGTCATCTGAAATATTTGCAACATTGGATCAAATAGGCCAGGTGCAAATTTAAAAAAAATTCAGTGATGCCAGTTAGCTGGGCTAAACAGATTAATGAACGACTAGGGGAGTTAAATGTGGAAAAGTTCTATACAGTACAGGCTGTCAAACACAAAGGCACCACTTTGGCTCAGTAATCTTTAAGCAGCTTATTGCTGGGTAAATCAGGAGGACATTTGGACACTACAGGAGGATGTAAAACTTTATTTTTGCATTCTCCTTCTGACATTTGGCACTTATAATTTCTGCACTTTTTTTATCTGGGACGTTACAGCTATCTTTTTGGGGTTTTTCAACTATGTTTATGTCTGTCAACTCCAGCAGGACATAAATCAGCTCTGGAAACAGAAGAAATCAATAGCATCCTTCTGATTAGTGCTTTTGCAGCAGATGTTGCTGAACTCCTGGGTGTGCTGTGCTGCCCTGGTGACATAATGTCACTTGGGTGGCACTGGGGTGTCCCTAACACAACGACTTGTGGTGTAGACATCCTCACAAACCACTTGTGATGGTTCTATTTGAAGAACTTTTTAGAACCTGACCTTTGTGTTGTAAAAATTATTCAGACTCAAAGCCATTGCTTTTGAGAGATTAATCCATTTCTAGTCCTTTTGTTAAAAGGAGTACACAGCTGGAAGGAAACCACTTGTGCTGTTGAAGGAGTACATTCCTCATTGTAAGCAAACCTCTTCAATGTTTTTTTTGATATTCTAATGTAAACCCAAATGCATGCTACATCCAGAAACTGATAGCTGCAGTAATTGAGCCAAATTATTTCAAAGTAAAATACTCACCATCCATCAAATGTGATAATGTGTGGATCAGTGAAAGAGTAGCAGTTCCCTGTTGGGAGGTCTCGAACTGTGACCTAGTTAAAATGAAATGTATAATGAATACAGTCTACACAGCAGTTTTCCTTCATTACTGTTCCTCACAAAACATTAGGGGCAGATTCATGGGTTAAGTGCAAACTACAATCTGACTTCTGAAACATGATTGCAGATGGGGACAAAATAGGCTTCAATTTCAAACAACAGAGTTTAATCATAGCCAATGAGGCAGTTCAAAGTGTTCCTGTTCATCTGATGTAATGTCTTCCTTTATTTGGTAAAAGCTGAAGTCTTTTATTAAAACTTTTTGCTAAAGAGCAGATAATTCACTGAAATTACCAGAGAATAGGGTGCTCATTAAATTGTACTAATTTTAATGCCTGAAGTATGGTAAAAAGGTATGCTGTAGTTAAGTAACATTAGCATGTTTTAGTAGTAGCTGCCAGTCCCCTAATTTGACCTCGGATTTCCCATTACAGCATCTGAATGGCTGATTTATCTATTTGATGTGGATATTGATCAGATATTGATGAGGAGGCTCCAAACCACTCTGCTTTATGTGGGTGAAACAGGAAAGGATCTATTACAGCTACAGAGATCTTCATCGGCATCAGCCCTCGACTGCTTGGGCACCAGCTGGGTCACAGAGGAGCTGTGAGGAGCAGGGAGCAGATGTGGCTGCAGAAGCAGAGGCAGAGCTCTGCAGCTGTGACACCTGAATCTCAGGCAGTGCCAGCTCTGCTCACAAGGGTGTTTTTTGAACGGCTGAGTGCTCTGCTGACCAGCTCCCAAAAATGCAGGACTGGGTTCTGTAGTGATTTGTGATATGAAGAGCTCCCAGTCATACTGGTGGGAGTGATGGAGTGTTATGTTTTTTCCATTATCCATCCTGACAGACTGATTCTTGGCCAGGGCTGTTAATTCTTTGCTCCCTCCCTGCCCATGAGGAGTCCAGAGGTGCACTTCAGTTAGTTCTACCAGGATCCATGGAGCAGGGAAGAAGGATGGCTGCTATATCCCTGTGCAGTCTTTCAGTGACAAAGCAGAACTTGGCTTTTGGGAACAGGAGTGAAATTAAATAAATGAATTAGAGGGCGAAGATAGAACTTCAGTTCCTGACAGCATTCCTCACCTGTAGCAATACATCATCTGTATTTCAAAATGCCCCTTAACCATGACACAGAAACACTTAGATGTTCACCTGTGTCTGGCACACCAAACTTTTAGAATGATGGTCTTGAGGACTGAAAAAATGAATCCCTCTTTGAACAACTTTTTGATTTGGAGTCAGCTGTATCATTTGGATTTACTGTGATATAAAGAGTGTCAGAATTTTCCCATTTTCTCCACAGCCTCACACTTCCTAAGTAAAAATTTAGCACAAACAAATACATGTGGCCCTTCCTGCTCTGCTCCTTCTTGCATGATGTCAGCAGAAGACACAATTCCTGGTAGTTTAATGAGGAAAGTAGTTTAATGAGGAAATCCCATTTACAGGTATCAGGATGTTCTGCCCACCATTTCTGTTCAATTTTCAGATAAATCAAAAATATCTGAACAAGTCAGAAGGATTAAAGATTATGTGGATTTCAATACATGGAGTTTTTCTTGCTATGTTGCAAGAACTCTTAAATTAAGGCCTCTAATTAACTACAAAGTAGCAATGGGAAAATGGGGGGAAGGGAAGTATTGTCTATTATGTTTCCATAGATCAAGTTTTAACAGAGATAAATGGAATTTATTATTAAAATTGATATATTCAATTTCACAAATTGATATATTCAATTTCACACTTGATATATCTTCATATTTTAATGAAAGAATTTGTAATTTCAAGAAAAAATGTAAGTGTATGAGTGCACGATGCTGAATTAGCTGTAATTTCTGTTTTAAGAATCTTAAAAAGAAGCCAGTTCTGGAGATAAAATGTTATACATCCATGCTAGGCATTTTACCTTTGAAGACAAACATTATTTTGGTCCAGTTTAATCTTATTATTTCATGACAAAATCCACAAAAATTAGGGCAGGGAATTTGTGGATTTCACTGGGGGGTTGTTTTCAGTTATTTAAGATATGCCAGTTTGGATGTGCCCCTGCTCTGAGAAATTTAGCTCAGTCAAATCTGTGCTCTGGGTAATGTTTTGGGGCAGTGCGATTACAGCTCTCAATAACTTCATGGAGAAAGGGCTGGTCCTTGCTCACCACATCACTCAGCCAGGCTTTCTACAGGGAAAGTGGGGCTTGCCTTCCTGATTGCTTTTTTTTTTTTTTCATTTTATTTTTTTTTTTTTTTTGATATTTTTTTTCATTTGATTGCTTTTTTTTTTTTTTCATTTTATTTTTTTTTTATTTTGGACATTTTGTAGTGGTATAAATGAAGAGATGGAGCAGCCACGTGTTATTGAAAGTGTCCTGGCAATTCATGGCAGTCACAAATTGAACATGGCACTGCTGAATCCTCTTCTCCTCTCTCCTTTCTGAGGCTCTGCCTTTCCTCTGCTTTTTCAGAAAATGTTCTCCAAACTCTCAGTTTCCCCCTTCCTCCTTCTCAAAAAGGGGCTTGTTCCCTAACCCATGTTCTCCCTCTCCCCTTTTTCAGTGGACAGAAGCACTCCAGTGTTCCAGCTCTTGGCCTTACTGATGGGCTGACTAATAATCAAACCTAAATCTGTCAAATCACAGGGGATTCCATGTTAATTTTCTTGGTGTGTGAAGTGACTGTTTTGCTTTACTCTGCTGACAGAGAGCAGGGTTATATCAGATATTAGGAAAAAAATTCTTTATTGTGGGGATGGGGAGGCCCTGGCACAGGGAGCCCAGAGAAGCTGTGGCTGCCCCTTCCCTGGGAGTGTCCAAGGCCAGATTGGATGGGGCTTGGAGCAACCTGGGATAGTGGAAGGGTCCCTGCCCATGGCAGGGAGTGAAACTGGATTATCTTTAAGGTCTCTTCCAACCCAAACCATTATAAAAATCAACCTAAAATTTTATTTTCTTTGGAAAAGAAAGACAAAAAATAAAAAAAAAAGGAAAGAAAAAAATAAAATAAAAGACTTTTAGTTAGATTTGCCACATTTTCCAACCAATTTCAGGTACTAACCTTCACATCCCTGGGTGTGTAATCCCTCCAGAGCAAATCCCTTGGTGCATCTGGGTGGGCTCGGATGCTGCTGACGCGGTTCCCGTCCTGCGCAAAGTCCATCACGGCTGTCACCGTCACCGTGGCTGCTGCACAGCTGCTCCCCGAGCAGGGCTCCGGCAGCAGATCCACCTGGCAGGCTGAGAGGGCGATGTCTGGGGGCCCTGGGACCTGCCTGCCTGGAGAGAACACCAACACAGAGTCTGACAAGTCACCCAATGCACCGCCCACACCCTGCGTTCTGTTCAGCACAAACGCTTCTTGTTCCAGGACACGCATGCCTTGGGTCTTAGGTCGAAAGATTTAGCTGGGGTATGTATTCTATTTGTCATCTGCTAGAGGTGGGACAGTTCTCTTCTGGTTATTGGGTAGTTTTCTTTATCTTTTCCACAACCAATCCTCCCTCCTGGAGATATCTGCTGTTAATGGGCCAGTGAGTGTCCCTGCATGGCTGAGAAAATTCCATCATCCCATGGAGAGATGCTCCACCCAGGGCGGGGGAGCCGAGCATTCCTACCTGGATACAATCTGACCTGGAGAACACCACAGCAGCCTTTGCCCACTGCATTCCCAGAGGAGCAGCTTCCTTCCCCCTGCATTCCCAGAGGAGCAGCTTCCTTCCCCCTGCATTCCCAGAGGAGCAGCTTTCTTCCCCCTGCATTCCCAGAGGAGCAGCTTTCTTCCCACTGCATTCCCAGAGGAGCAGCTTCCTTCCCCCTGCATTCCCAGAGGAGCCCAGGCCCATCTCCCCCAGCCCTGGAGCTCCAGAGGAAAACTCCCCCCTTGTGCAGGATCCTGCTCCAGCAGAAGCACAGCTGGCACTGCAGGAGGGCTCAGCCACCCTGGGATGGGACTGCTGCCACCTCCCTGACACACAGGGGGTCAGGCTGTATTGTGACTCTGGCAGTGGTTTGCTTTTTTTTTTACTATTGAATTTTATTTTTTTAAATTCTCCTAGTAAAGCACGGTTATTCCTATTCTCATATCTTTGCCTGAGAGCCCCTTTAGTTTCAAAATTATAATAATTTGGAGGAATTATTCCATTTCAAGGAAGGCTCCTGCCTTCCTTAGCAGACTGTCTTTTCAAAGCAAGACAACTTGGAACCAGATGGGCTTTGCATGAAGACATTTGTGACTGAATCTGGCATCCCCCTGCAGTCTTCACTGTGCTGCCTTTTTATCCCCAAAGTTCACTAAAAACTCAGTGGTGTCTATTTTTCCACAGGTGCTAATATTTCTGGGACAATGGTGTTATCTTTGTGGGTCCATGCCCAGTGAATGAAGACAAGTCGTTCTCATGACAAAGAGATAAATCTGTGTTTCTGGAAAACAATTCTCTTACACTGTCTGGAGGATAAGGAGATATCTGCTGGGAGTTATTTAATTTAAAATAAACAGGTGTTTTGATGTGAAAAGGGAGTGTTCTTGAGTAAGTTTTTGGTGAACTATGGATCCACAACAGCAAGGCAAATGCAGCAGGTCTGTATTTGTATTTTTTGGCTTAGTTATGTTATGGTGTTTTGCTTCCCAGTCCCAAATGATGATAGTTTTATTTGTATCCTTCACAGAAGTATTGTGCCGATAAATTCACTAAAAATGAGGAAAAATAATAGCTATGGAGATACTGGTTATGTCAGCATCTGCGGTGGGTAGAGAAATGATGTGTGTGACAAATTCAGTGTGACAATAGCACTGCACTGTATCTTTCTTTTCTAAAGAAACCTCTACACACAGTCAGAATGGCAGCATCCACTTCTCTCAGATCCTGACTCTTTCTGCTGAGGTCTCAGGTAAACCTGGATTTTTATTTCCATAGGTGTGTTTTCCCTTACACCGAATTATGATAGCATTTAGTTCTGAGCCATCCGGTCTGCACTGGATTCAGTGTGCATTTTCTTCTCAAGAAGCCACTCAAGCTTTCATGAATCCTTTTGTTGATAGGAAATGAAACTGTGGTCCCACTGAAGCCAGTCAGAATCTAAGTGCTGATTTCATGACTTACAGTGTTTCTTGAGGAATACTTAGTTTTCTCTCACAGACCACTAATTGTCACCAGATAAGAATAAAGTTCTGGAAATGGTGGCCCTAAATTTAATCTGAGATGAAAAGAAATGATTTTCTGGTATCAAAATAAGTGCTTTTTATACCATTCTTCCCATTTGTAGAATTGCTTAATAATTTCTAGAGATGGTATTAAAGTATTTTAAAATGGCATTTCTAACACAATCAAATAATCACTGTCCTATTCCTTATGGGAAAATCTCATGAAATATAACTTAAATTAACCCTGTACAGTACTATGGAAACGGAACTAAAATCTACAGATATTAATGACATATTATCTGTCATATCAAATCCTTAAAGGCTGCCTCACCTCACATCTTATAGAAAAGTCCTGGCTCATTTTCAAGGTTCTTGATTCAATTAAATTGGAGGTTTCCATGAGGAATAGTTATTACCATTACAGCCCCATGAGCTGTGCTCAAAACCCAGAACAAAAGTGTAAAATCAAAGAAAATCATCTTGTCAAAATAGTAGCGATAAACTTAACAGAAGACGAACTCCAGTGGCTCTGCTGTGCCTTGGCATTCATTATGATATTGTCTGAACTTGGAGAGATATTCCTGTGCTTGTAATTAGCTTTCTTATCACTTATTCCCTACATAATTAGCACAACAGTGTAGTTATATGGATTCAGTCAGACAAGGAGCTTGTCAGTTAATTTATTCCATATAAACGAATCGCAGCTAAAATGGTTTTTATTTTTAATTTCCAGCACTGTGGCCAGCACACATTTTTCAGAAGCCTGCAGTGTTCCTTCAGATAAACTAATGGGCCCTAAAGACAATAAAGGCTCAGAGCAAACGTGGTTGTGCAGACACCCAGCAGCAGATCCTCAGCCTTAAGTACATATAGATAGCTCAATAGATAACAGCCCGAGTGTCATCCCAGGAAACAGCCTCAGGATGGAGCAACCAAGGGCTAGAGCTGGGTTTAGTTTAAGCTGCAGAAATGAGTTGATTGAGACTAACAGAAATTTTCCACTTCAGTGACAACTTCCTTCAAACACGAGTTAATTGGACGAGCTGTACTTTTCTCCTGACACCAACACATCAAGCCAGTTGACAGCTTAAAAATAGAGCTGCTTCTGCAAGTGCTGCATCCTCTCTTTCTTCCAGTCAAGTGCACACTGTGGGACTGGAGGAGACCTTGGTGAAGGGGTCAGTCTCAGTCCAGTGTGCTGAGCTCAGCCTCCCCAGCCTGAGAGCTCCTGGCCAGTTCTCTCAGTGTGATTCTGAAAGTCTTGATAGATGCCTAAAAAACATGAGTTAAACGAATGGCCTTGACTGGGACTAATTCCTGTCTGACCCTCAGTGTCTGAGCTGCTTGGGGTCTGTGGGGATGTCCCAGCACACATCCCAGTCCCTCAGTGTGAGGCAGCCTTTCCTCCACCTGGCTATCCAAGGAAATCCATTCCCACGAGCTCAGAGGATGTTTTCCTGATGGAGCAGCCCAGACTCCAAGCCAAGAGCAGCACTGAGCCATGGAGAAATGCAAAGTACTTCATGTACAAGAGCCAACACAGCTGCTGGAACCATAAGGTTCTGCTCAGTTTAAGTTCATTGTGTTATGATACCATTTAAATTATTTTTCTTTCTTCTGTCTAAGCACTTGGCTGGTGGTGAGGAGAGCTAGGAAAGGGAATTAAAAAGAGAAAAATATCAGGACCTATCTGGGTTTTGCCAACATTTTTTAGAGCTGGCTTTCTGTGGGTAGAGAAACTGCAGCTGTAATCCTATCTCTAAAAATTTTTATCATTGAGTCACTTAAGGAAAAGAAAGAAGTGACTTGTTAGAAAAAAGGTTGGGTGTTTTATTTAGTGCAAATGGAAAGTAAATACCTACGTGCCACCTTTAGGCAGGAAGGGTATTCCACCCGATTGACTTGAAGACAACATTTACTGAGTAAAAGGACAAGAGTTTTCTCAGTGACATTGTCAAAGTTTTAAAGTCAATAAAATAAAAAAAAATCCTAAATGTTTAGAAAGAGAATAATACATAAGCACAAGAATGATTTTTTCCTTCTGTATTAAGACAAAAACTATAAGCCAGCAAAAGAAAGAAAAAAGCCTTCACTATGCATTGACTGAATAATAAATCTGCAGGGGAGCTTTTTATTGATAATTAATGAAATTATTCTACCTAAGAACATTCCTGCTACAAAAAAAACTTAAAAATGGAATTTTACACTCCTGGAATTTAAAATAAGTTCTTCTACTCTCAGTTATTTCATACATAAATCTCAACAAACTACTGTTCAGGTTATTGCTAGTTATATTTATGGCTTTAGGGTTCTTTTATCTCAAAAATCTGTCAGATATAATCAGCTGTTTTATTTTGCAGATAAAAATATGGCCTAGTTTGTTGATTTAATGGTTTCTGCCCTTTGTTATTATTTATATATAATATTTTCTATTAAAATTCATTGTAACTTACATACTGGAAAAAGCGATCACATTGATTTGATGTCAATATGTAAAACTCTTACCCAAGTCCTCAGTACTTAGCTGCAAAGTCATTTTACAGGAATCATCCTGCCCAGGACAGGCAATGGGCACCGTGCTCAGGACAGTCAAAACATGCTCCTTGCCATCCTCTGCAATTTCTAGTGACTCTGGTAAAAACTGGAAATAAGAAAACAACTCTAAGATCATTTTGACAAGCATGAATGATGACAGATTAATCAGGCAATGTAGACATCTATGAAGTCTGAAGTGGTTTTAACCAATTATTAAGATATATGATTACTTGCAAAATAATAATAATCTTTATCATACTCTTCTTAATAATAATAAATTTTGCAATAGTGATCTTCAACTTTGTAAGGTAAAATTGCTGTTAACATACTTTAGCATACATTTTTGGCAATTAAGAAAATGTTTTCATCTCCCATATATAATGTGTCATTGCTTCTCATCTCCAAATCAGAAAGCCAACTTTTATTAAGCCTGAGAATAATATTGTAGAATTTATTTAATTTTTAATATCCCTGGTTTAAAGGAGCTCCTACTCCAGTGCAGGAGGAAAAATACCATGGCATAAAGTCTGACATAACCCCATGGTCATGGACTACATGTTTGTAGTCTGCACCAGGTGCAAAATAATTCCAATTTTTCACCAATTCCCCTTCCCTGCTATGGCAGGAAGAATTGCTCTGAACATAAAATATTACAGGTTTGGAGACTCCTATCCCCAGGGGCAGAACTGGGATTGTGCCTTTTCTGTCTGCCCATTGTCCTGGGAAAAGAGCAGAGATAGCATTCAGGGCTAGTTGGAAATGGGAATTTCCACTCCCTGGAGGATTCTGACATATAAAAAAATTTCCCAGAAGCTATTCTTCAGAATAGGTTGCCAGATGTTTGAAACCCCTTTCATGGAGGCATGAACACTCAGAAGATCCCAAAATCTCATGGGCTGCCAGGCTAACAGCCTAATCCTTGAGTGGGATTAGACCTGGTCCTTGCTCTCAGTGAATTTATCTTCAACAACTTCTGTTTTGTAATGCCTGACCGTAACAAGATGATGGAGAAAAATTCATATTTTGTCTTCACTTTGCTCTGGTTTAGTTACAACAGAATTGTGCATCCCTGAAGGTTTGTAGGTATGTCTTCCCATCACACAAAACCCCCAGAGATGTTCAGGGCACATTTACTTGCAATTTACTCATACTTTGTGGCACATCAGTTTCCACACCTGCACATGGTGCCAGTGGTGCTTCAGGGGTGTTTGACAGACAAACTGAAAGCCATTTTCTCAAAGTGAACAGCACTGCTTGTGATTAATGTTTCTTCATCAGGACTAATGTTTCTTCATCATGGTTTTCAAATATTCCCTAGTCAGTGACTCCGGGCCATGGGTGTTACCTTAATCCCAGCATAGAAACCTTTGCTGTCCTCAGGCAGTGACTGCTGCTCAGGAGTGCCCCTCCTAAAAGCTGTGACGGTGCAAAAGACCTGTAATAAATAAATAAACAGCATGTGCTAGAGCATTTCTTGAATAACATTTGTATAATTATGCATCCTCCTGTTGCTCAGAGTTTTTAAGCTTTCATTCTCCTGCTGAGATATATTTTGGGGATTTGGGCTTTGAGAATGTTTATGTATAAATTTTGAGATTTGGAAGAATTTTTGATGCATTTAATAAGCAAAGAAGTATGGCTTTTGTCTCAAGAATTAATAACACTTTATGCTTACAATGTGTTTTCTTCTGCAGTTTTTAAACACCTTGGTTTGTGATTTTGACTCCTTTTGCTAAGGAAGAATGATATTGTTCACAGATGTCACTGTCAGAATTCAGACATGTGCTCTTGGGATCCCAGACTCCAGCCTGTCCACTAGATCAAATATCTTCTCTCTGTAACATGTTTGAAAGCCTTTTATTTTAAAATGTAAATTTGTTTAACAGTCATCCAGTCTCAGAAACTTTGTCAGCAATAAGAGAGGCTTCTTTTTTCCCCCTTATTGTTTTATAAAAGATGATCCAGATGTGCCTACAGGGTTTATATTGTATTAAGAAAAAATAAGAAAATTCATCCAAATAAAAACTCCTCCAAACACAATGTACCAGGACACTTATATTGTATTCCTAGCACAGCCACACAACTTTTATCTCTGCTGAGCCTGCACACCATCTGCCAACTAAATGTTTCATTGGTTTCAGAAAAACCAAATTGCAAAAATCATTTCTAGGATCGTAAGAGTAAAATACAGAAATTTTCCTTAAAGCAAATGACAATAGACTCTAAAACTGTAGTTCTGAATATTTTTTTTTAGTCTTCTTGGAAAAGGAATAACAGATTGTGACATATTAAATCAAATTCCAGATACTCAGATGACATATTTATATCTGCCTTTTTTAAGCCTCAAGTAACCCACAAGGAAGAACTGGACCAATCCAATTTATTTTCCATTATAACAAATGCTTTTGGATAGATTTTCCAGCATCACTCACTGGCCAGGCTGATGCTTGTAGCTCTCACCTGCATGACCCTCGTGACCACTACCTGCAAAGCAGGTTCTACACCAGGATATTCCCAGATCCATGTGGTCATAACAGCCTGCAATATTCCTTTTAGCACCCTAAAAATCCCTCCTCATTACCATCAAGTCATGAGTTTCCTGCAAACTGAAGAATCCTCTTTCCTACCTCATGTGTGCACAGCAGAAATTCCCCACCAGCAATACAGGGTCATTTGTAGGGCTGTGGGCAAAAACAAATGTTTTCTGTGCTCTTCAAGTGGATTCTTTCCAGTTCAGCTCAGTCCCAGGCTTATGTGCCTTTTGGGATGTTTTTACCTTCACAATTTTTCTCACTCTCTTGCAGACAGCTTGGCCCAGTGAAAATGGTGTCATTTTTTACATTAACAAGATGGAAGCCTTGAGGTCATACTGGGTGTACTGGGGGAAAAACAGACACAGATCTCACCTCACAGAGACACTTCACAGTTAAAATTCCTCAGATATTTCATAGTTATCCAGCTTGCCTCTGAAGGAGAGCAAGTTGTTGTCTCCTCAAGGTAATAAGCCCCTGTTATCATTAGATATTTATTATCTCAAATCCTTCCCTACAGGCTCGTGTTCAGTTTACAGACTTTTCAAAACAGTTCTTCAGCTGGGAAGGCAGACAGTGAGTGTTGATCACACTCCTGCAGCTTCTCCTGCTGCTGCCACTGTGAGAATCTGCAAAATCAGGATCTGGCAAGGCAGTGACAACAGAGAAAGGGTTCAGGTAATGCACATTCCCCTACCAAATTCAGATAATGCACATTCCCCTACCAAATTCAGATAATGCACATTCCCCTACCAAAACCAAAGAGCCCCGACCCCTTGCAGAGCTCACTGAGCAGATCACATGCACCTGCATTGCAGATGAGGGATTTGCTCTCACTGGGCTGTTTGCACTTTTGGTTTCAGTGCTTTTAACCAAAAAATGTTCACACTGAGGTTCCCCAAGGAATGTTTGTGCCAGGGAGGGAGCTGCAGCTGCCAGGGACTGGCACAGGGATGCCCAGCACTGACAGAGGCATGGCCTGGGGATCTTCCCCAGAATGAGATCTGGGCAAATAACAGAACCCAGCCTCACTGTATTTCCTCTCATGTGTATTTTAGAGCTGTATCTTATTGATAAAGCACCAAACACTCAAATAAAAATTTACTCCTTAATGATACACAGAGACATCTGTGGACTATCAGTGCATCCCAGCTCAATCATCAGTGCTTTTGGAGGTCGGCACAAACTTTAAAAATTCAAAATGTACCAACAGCAATTACAATTTTCATTTTATTTCTGTCTTTTATATAATTCCCACCCTTGTTGAGTGCACACATCACAATCAGCAGATATGTTCATCAGATACTGAGCTACAGGTTGACAGTCTGTCACATAATTATGATAGTCATCCCAAGGAGGAGAGTTTTTTTGCCTTCAGCTAAATACTAACTCTTTTTTTAGCACTTCAGTAATCAACTTTTTCTTTCTCTTTTTCTCTTCCCCCCCTACAACCATCTCAGGATGCAGCCTTTTTAAAGCAAAGAGATAAAAGCACCACTGACAGCAGTATGCTGATGGCCGTGACAAGTTAGGAAGTATTTTTCCACAAACTCATTGGATCTGTTAAAAAAAAAAAAAAAGTCAAATTCTATTTTTTCATCATCTCTTTTAAAGGGTGCCCTTGGACAGGATGACTGCATTGCTTCTTAACATGGGATGCTTTGTTTTCCCTGTGTGCTGGAAAAATTCCCACAGTGCAGAAAGCTTCTTCTAGGCACAAAACTCTTACCAAGAAAGGCTCTTTTAGGTAAGAAATGTCTTCCTTCATGTATGTTGGAACAGATTCCTCCACTTCATGGGCTTAAACAGAATTGTAAAAATTTTGACATGAACCCCATGGGCAGCTTCTTTAGCTAAAAGCAGGAGTCAGTCATTAATTTGGTGAGTTCTGTGAAACAATTTAGGAGAATATTTTAATACTAGGGCCTGTCACCATCCCCAGAAAATTTCTCCTTAATAACTTGCGCATTAAAATGTGGGTATTTTCCCCTATAGATTTCAGAATTCAAGTTTCCTCCAAATAGTTGTTTCTACTTATTTTGACAATAATAATTTCTTCAATTTCACCTTTCCCCCTAATTAAATCTGAATGCAGTGTGGAGAGCCCAGGCTGGAGCATGGATGGGGAAGTTTGCCAGCAGATCCAGCTTTGCCATGGGTCCTCTCCATCAGCATCACCCCCTGTGCCCATACAAGGGTTCAGTTAAAAGGCAGCTGTGGGGAGCTCCATAAGGAAGCTTTTAGGGTGCCCTCCTGCTGGCCATGCCCTCAGCAGGGCAATCTGGGTGCTGCTGGAAGGTGCAGGTGCCAGTCTGAGGGTGATGATCACCCCTGGGCTTGGGTCACCCTGATGTAGGTGTGGGTCACCCTGATGTAGGTGTGGGTCACACTGCTGTAGGTTTGGGTCACCCTGCCATAGGTTTAGGTCACCCTGCTGTAGGTTTGGGTCACCCTGCTGTAGGTGTATCCAGCCTGGGGCTGCAGGGCTGAGACACAGGTGACATTCCTGCAGTGAAGGGAACCACCAGGCCAGGTGAAAGGTGTCTCCTGATGGCTGTGGGGCACTGCAGCTGCCATTGCCTCTTCCATTAAACACTAATGGGCTGGGGCTAGAAAAACCTGGAGTCACCACTCTTACAGCCTTGATGAAAAGAGCAAAGGATGAGGAGAACTGAGGGATGACATTTCTAGGGAAGCTGGAAGAAAAGAAAAATAGTTCTCATTAGCTTGAGAAAATGATCTGGCTGTAGGTATTTACAGACAGGGGCAGGAACAAAGTCTCTGGGAAGGCCTTCCAGAAGGGTTAGCAGGAAGGGGAAAGTAGGGAGAATCTGTCTTTGATTTAATTAATGAACTAGACCTTGCAGCTTTAGAACACAAATCACTCCCTGTGAGGGCTGTTGGCTGTGGCGAGGGGGGAGCAGGTGCAGCTGTGTGACCTGGCACTGCGGGCAGTCCAGCTCTGCTCACTCTGCTGCTGGCTGTGCAGGAAGGAGGCAGCTCTTCCCAGCTGTCACACGGCCAGGCAGGGTGTGGAAGCTGCCTCTGGGTCATCATTCTGCTAAGGAAGGAAATTTTCCCAGGGTAATAGTAAGGTGTTTTATCATCTGCAGAGTTTTGCTCATCAACTCTCTGACCCTTTCTGCTTTAAAAATCTCTGTTCAAGTTCACTTAGAGTTCTGTTTCTGCAGGGATGCTTCTCATTTTCTACCTGAAGGTTGAGGGAGAAATTGTAAACTCGGCTGTGACCTACAAACAGGCAGGTCTTCCTATTCCTGTTGTTGATTTTGACAAATCCAGTGGCTGGGAGGGGATTAGTACTTAAGTAGGGGAAATGCCACTTTGTCACTTTGGAGTCCAGATGCTGGTGCAACCCTCTGAACTGGGCAGTGACCGAGTCTGAGCCAGTGAGAGCTGAGCCAAGGGCACAAAGTGACCCCAAAGGGGAGATGCTGAGAGCCAGTGCTGCCTGGGGGTCTGTAGGATGAAACCTTGCTATATCTGGGAGAGGAGAAGGGGCAAACCCTCAAGACTGCCTCCTAAGTGCTTGAGTATTTCCACAGGTACAGACTTCACATGATTTAACATTTATGAGCCCATATGCCCAGGATTTTTGTCTAAGTGCAATAAATGTAGTGAATCCATCATCTGGAATGAGCTGCTTCTCTCCCCTGGGCTGAACTGGGACATGTCTTAGAAGTGCTGGCAACAAGACAAAATCCTGTTTCCTTGAGACATGAAGTGTAAGGGCTCTGCAAGGTCTGGCTTTCTTCAGCACCAAGAACAACAGGACTGTAAGATCTCTTGCCTCCTCACTGGAGGTATTTTAGGCCAGCTGGGATGGGGTATGGAGCACCCTGGCCCAGCAGAAGGTGTCCCTGCCCTTGGAGGGGGGTTGGAACTCGATGATCTTTGGGCTCTCTTCCAATCCAAACCACTCTATGAAATTTCACACTTTTTCCCTTGTGAGGGAAAAATTGTTATTTTATATATTGAGGCAATAATTTGCTATCTTTTTGGCTTTGACATAATCTCCTTTTGTTGCAGAGTGCCATGCAAAGCAGCCACTTCTCTCACAGAGCTCAGAAAGGCTAGTTTTACTTAAACATTCTTATTTTACAGCGAGAACCATGGTTTATGTAGGGTGACAATTGCTCCTCACCATGTGAACTTTTGGATTGCTGTGCTGAGCAAAATCTGCACAGTTTTCTTCTAAACACCTTTCTTTCTTAGCATAACTCATTACTCACAGTGTGCTGCTATAATTTATAGATGGCTGTGCCTCGAGGAATGAAATGACCTCTGTCACTATCACATAAATAAGGCTTAGGAATGCCAGGATTTTCATATCAGATGGAGTAGGCTTCTTTCAGAGCTTATAGAAAAATAGTGGCATGTTATAGATTTATTTAAGACTGCAATAGCTACATGAACATTATGCTTCCAGCATTACTGTCTGAAATAACAAAATTGGAACCTAAAGATGGGGGAAGAAAGGACACATGATGGCTATTAAAAATAACTGGCTGTTTAGTCAATACAAGTTCAGGAATGTTGGCTGGTAAATCTCAACTCTTCTCTAAGGTTTGACTGCGTATTAAAATATATCAATAGCTATTCCATTATGTGACTGACCTATTACCTGGAGACATTTTTACAAAGAATAGCATTGACATCAACCACCCAAAAAATGATGTAAAACAAAATTGTCTTGCCTGACTGTGGCTTTTTTTTTGTCAAGAAAGGAACAGAGAAGATGCTGATTTCAGGCCATGAATGTGTGGAACCAAATGCAGGTTATTGTGCAGGTAGAGATAATGAGTTAAAAAAGTTCAAAAAAGGCAAGTAGTTTTCAAAATGCTGCAAATTCTCTGTCCTGGGGGACAAATTCTGCCTTGAATGCCCCTCCTGCACCCTGGCAGTGATGCTTGGGGATGCTGCCACTGGGCTCTGCATGGAGAAGGGGAAAAGTACTGGAAAGTCCTCTTGATTTATTGTCTCCTCTCTCATACAGCTTTTATCAGTGTGAATCTGGCCTCCCTCTGCTGCTGCCTGAGAGAGTATTCTTCCATCTGCATCTTCCTTGGGCAGGTTACCCATTTTCTCTGTGTGGTAGAGTTTGGTGCCAGGGTTTGATTCCCCTTTCAGTGGCATCAACTTTCCTCTAGGGTAGCCCTACAAATACTAAACTTCTTCAGATTTACACCACGGGAGGTGAGAGTCTTCTCCCTTTTGACTCCTGTTAGACACCCAGCCTGGGATGGCAAACAGTGAGATGGTTTTTTAAACTTTTTATTTTGTAAAACTGAATTCTCAGCTGCAGCTTTATTGCTTGGTTTTCACCTGTGATGATTTATGGATAATTACAATTAGTCTAATAGGACATGAAGACCTTTAAAGAAGTCTAACAAGGAAGGAAATATTTTAATCTCACTAAAACCACTAAATTAAACACATAGTTTCAGCAGAGGACAAAGAAGGGCTTACTGGAAACTTAATACAATAAAATAGTCTTATAAAGATTTGGCAGTGCTACTTGTTAACAGAACCATATTTTCTCTGAATATCTCAGGACTGTTAAAACAAGATTTGAAGTGATTGCAAGTGAAATAATTTGGAGGAGAATATCTCTTCATAGCACAAACTTATCTTAAACTGGCAGAATTATCTGCCTCGCAACATGTGAGGGCATCATCAGTCAGATTCTGAACTGGGCTAAAGAAATCATTATCTCAGTCAGCATTTCTCAGGCCACATCTGGAAAATCGTGGGCAGGCTGGAGAGGGTGCAGAGAAGAGCCACAAAGATGAGCCAAGGCCTGGGAAGCTGCCATGTGATGAAAGGTTGAGAGAACTGGGTTCATCCAGCCTTGATAAAAAGAGGCTTAGGGGAAACCTCATCACCATGTTCAGCTTTTAAAGAGTGGATACAAAGAAGATGGAGGGTCCCTTTTTACAAGTAGTAACATGGAAAAGATGAGAAAAAATTCAGATTCAACACAAAAATATTTTTTTTCACACTGAGAACAGTTATACATTGGAATAATCTCAGCAGTTGTGGATTTCCCAACATCAGACACTTCAGGTTCAGCAGGAAAGGCCACTGGGCTGTCTTGTCTAAACTATACTTTTGCCAAGAAAATGTAAACCAGATGAACATTAAACCCTCTGTTTGGGCTGGTATTTTATGATTCCATGATCTCAAAAAAGAGGTGCAAAATGTGAAGACTATTTCCAACCTACTTTTAACACCAGGACATTATCCCTATTTATTCTGTTTGCTGTAGCATCACTAATGTCCCTCTGCCCATAAAAGTTATGAACATAATTTAAATTTAAAAGTCTTGTTTCTGTACTGTAAAAGGCCATGAATTCATACACCAGTCAATTTTTTTCACATCTGTATTGTTTTCTGTTTTGTTGTTGTTGTTGAGAGCAGATCATTGTTGCTGTGTAAGCCATCAAATATACTTCTTAAAGATTGTTTTGTAATGAACTCTATCTTTCAGTATGCTATTGAACCAGGAGTTTGGAATCAGAGAGGCAGAACAATGTGGAAAAAACCCCATAAAATGAATCTCCCTCTATTTTAAAATGTATAATATTTTATTTTTCCTGTGAAAAGATGTTATTGTGTCTCTGGTCCGTGGATATAAAAATTACTGAGTGCACACAGCTGAGCCTGCCTCTGCCGCAAGATACAAAAAGTACTGAGCAAAAATTGGCTCAGGCACATGTACCTACCACTTATACAAACCTCACAGCATTCAGGGTGTAATGTAACTGCAAATATTCAATTTGCCTTTAGAATGTGGTAAAATACCTTCCAAGTACTCACTGCAATTCAAAGGAGTGTTACAGGTCCTGAACCTGGTTAACGTTATTAAATAATCTTGCTGTGGAACGGTTTCAGATCTCTTTTGGGCAGTAGCTGTAAGCATGAGGAGCGAGGAGCAGCACGAATAAAAACACAACAAAGGTTTAGGAGGTGTGGGAACTCAAAATGTCTCTCAGACATTTTTAGAGGTTCCAGGCCTTGGTCAGAGGCATTTTAGACCCCGGCAGGCAGCTGGAAACAGCTGTGATTTTGAGTTTGAACATGGAATGAATTACCAACTTTGAAGGTGGAACAAGCAGTCACAAAGGGTTAGATAGTATAGTAAATGTAGCTACAAAGTAGAGGGGAATTTTTTTTTGGTATTGTACAGGGGGGTTTTAGCACATGTACAGGGGGGTTTTTACTTTGTACATGGGGGTCAGAAGTTCTAAGATGGAGGAAAGTGGGCTGATCCTGTTCTTCCTCCTTCTTTTTCCTTACCTCCATGTTCTTGGTGATGCTGGCACTCACGGATTGGTTTAGAGTAGAAAAGCACTTGGTAATATAGGTAGTAGGTATTGGGGAATAGTTGTAAACATGTTATACGTAATATATCTTATAAAATATAGCAGCAGCCCTGGGTGGGGGGAGAGGAGAAGAAGACACTGGGCAGTCAGGGTGTCAGGAGTGTGTGCGTCTCTGCCTGGGCCGCTGATCAAACAGCCGCAGCCTGAGAACATAATCTGTTAAATAACTAGCAATAAATTGTCTTGAGACCGAACAACAAGAGACTGCGGAGTTTTTCTTTGGGAGCATGGGTCGGAGGAGAGACTTTACCACCACTCGAGACCCCAAACCAAACCCGGGGTTCTCACAAGGAGGAAGCTTTGATCGCCTGTGGGTGCGTGACCTGCTGGAGGCAGGCGGCGTTACCGTGTCTCCCAGGCGGAGATTGGCGCCGTCCATCTCCACGTAGGAGAACGACTGCAGGGTTGTCTCCTGGTGGATCTGCTCCCTCTTGCCAGGGCTGGAGAGGCGAGACCAGAGCACCCTGAACTGGGCTGGGACCTCGGGAGCAGCGGGGCTGTAGCTGCACTTGAGGTGGACTCGGCCCTGCACAAGCTCGGGAGCGATCACCGGTTGCAAAGCCAGGCTCGTGGACTTGTCTGGGAAGGGAAAACCAAAGAGGGATGTAGCATAAAATGTTATTGGATGTTATGGTTGTTCACCTAACAAGAAGATGTCAATGTAATTAAACACGGGAGAAGCACTACATTTTATCTTCCTGTGACTTAATCAGTAACCATGCAAGCAAGAAGGTGTGTTTCATAAGAAATGCAAAAATTGCTAATTGTGTCCTGACTACCTATTGCAGTTATGCCATCTGACCTGCTGGTTTTGAATGTGTTTTAATTTTTTTTTTAATTTTGCAGTGAGAGAAAAACTATTGAAATGAAACACTCAGATTAATACAAATTAATTACTCTGGCAAAGGTCCTCAGCTTTGCATTTCCCTGGAGCACAGCCTTTTGATCCAAGTTTTGCAATAAGCACAGGAGAGATATGACAAGTCACTATGTGGCAGAGGTAAACTGACTCCCAGCCTCTATTGCCTTACTGTGAGCATCCTTTCCAAGCTGTTTTAGGATGCATCTAGGCTAGGTCTGCTCAATATAGTCTCCCTCTGCCCAGAATAATGCCATTGCTCTAAAAATACAGCTTGCTTTCTGCAGGCTTCAAGTAATGAAGTCTGAAACCTTTCTTCCTGTTAAACTCCCCTAGAAAGTAGAAACAAAGAGAGGTATAATAGTGTAAGGGGATGTTTTTCATCTCTAGAGACCCAGATTCAACCAAAATATCAAGCTGGTTCAGATGCTTTGAAAGGATAAATTAAGTAACTTTTTCGGACAAGTGTAGAAAATATAATATGTGGGAACCCAAGAGAATAAAATATGAAGCTGTTCCAGCAGCACAGAAAACCAATGTGTTAACATCTGTCCAGGGCAAACAGCAAGAGGTAAGAAACAAGTTACTTAAAAGATGAATATAAACCTGTTGTTTATACCCTTTTGTATTTCATTTCTTAGAGAAGCTGCCTCAAACCGTGCCTCACATCATGACTGTGTGCAGGAAATTATCCCAGAAGGACAGAGTTAGGTGATCAGCTCCGGGGAGGATGTGAGTGGAATTGCAAGCACCAACACTGCTTTTCCCAGCTGTATCCTTTCTGCCAAGTTATGGAGTTTTAAATTCAGTTTGTTTTGCAGCTCAGAAGTGCTGATTGCTGTCCTGCTCCTGAACCTCCAGCAGAAGGGGTTGGGGAATTGACCCTGACACAAAGCCATGGCAGCTGGACCCAGCTGAGCCTCCTGTGGTGCAATATTTACAGCTGAATTTAAGGCAGTGAGGTAAAAATCCCCAGTAAAAAAACTCCAGGTTTGAGCTTTTTTCTCATCCAATGCATAAGACTGCAAAAACATCCTAAAGGGAAGAAATTAAATACTCTGAAGGACTGGACCTCACTGAAAATGAGATTGGGAAGGGATAAGCATTCTTTTCTTAGAAATGCAGTCAGCTTTACATCACTGAACAGGTATGAATCATTAAATAGGACAAAATTATTCACCCAAAATGTATTGGGAAAAAATTCTTTGAACAAAAGTAGTTGAAATCTTATAGTTTGTAAAAAAGCTAAGCTCAAACTGAAAAATGACTATTCAGTTAAAAAGTAATTTCTGCCTAAAAATCGGTTTCATTTATTTTAATGGATTTTTTTTTATTTCAAATAGTGAATTAATGTCATGTTCTTTGAGCCTTTCTTCCTTCTTCTTCTTCAAGTAGGAATGTTAAAATATTGATAAAGATAAGAAAATAGTTATCTTTCTCTTTAAAATTTATTTAAGCTTGGATTTTGCCCAATTGAAAAGTTGATAATCTGACTTTCTCAGTGTCATGTTTCTGTCCAAAATCACAAAAAGGAAAGAATAAAGGTAATTTTTTCATTTGGAGAAAGAAGCATGTTTTCTGATGAAATCAATATGCACCTGGCCATGCTCCAGAGTTCAGGAGGTTTAACTGAATGAGCAATTGCTTTCTGCTTTCCCTTTGTTTCCTAGCTACCGAACAGGGGTTACATCTCTCGTAGTCGGCTGAAAATTCTTTCTGACGAGAACAATTATATAAATGTCATGAAAAAGATGTTATCAATTTGGTTTGTTTGTTTTTTTTTTTTATCTCCTTGCAGAGTTTTAGAATTACCTTTTTTGAGGGGGGATTCTGCATTATTAAAGATAAGGAGAGTCCTTAGAGACAGTCTCCTGGAACAGCGCCTGAGATGCCCCTGCTCACTCGCTTTGCAACTTCAAGCCAAAGTGGAGCCAAAGACAGTGGGAAAGGTTACACGTGAGCTGTAACCAAGCAAAGAACGCTCCAGCAATACACACCAGATTACATTTTGCACTGGTAATAGGAGCTATTCTTCAGGAACACCTCGGACTGCCACTGATTTATTTCCTACACGCTCCGCGCCCTAGCAGGAGTGATGCTTGACTCACAAGGTCACCGAGATGTACACAGCAACACCGGGGCCTTTGAACACCCAGCCTGAGAGGCACAAGAAACCTTATTGAGAAATACTTTACTGGTCCTCACCTTCTGCACAGTAGCCCATGCATCCTGGGGTGGGCTGCAGGAGATACACAAAGAAAGCGCCGCAGTTCCTGACGGCGATGGGGATGCGGAACAGGCAGCAGTCCCTGGTGCCCCCAAAAACCTGCCAGGTGGCACAGCCCGTCAGCCTCTTGATCTCCCCAGGAGCTGGCAGGGATTCAGACTTCAGGGACAGCCACACCGGAGCTTGTGTCCCGCATTTGTTCATCTGAGGGTGCACAAAAAAGGAGCCGTTTACAGCAAGAAGCCGTTTACAGATTCCTTTCAGGAAAGGGAAGGGGATCTTGGAATCAGAGAAAAAAGTCTAACAAACACTCAGGAAAGAAGCATTTGATATGATCAAATTGATATCATTTGATATGATCAAATAAAGTATAATTGAAAAAAAAACCCAGAAAATTTGGAAATGGAGTGACTACAACCAAAAGGACTGAGATGAAATGAGGGGTAAATGACCAAATGAAATGTGGGGCAAATGAGTGCAAATGACCAAAACTTGCCAAAACTGTGCCAATTAAAATCCTGAAATCATAGAAGAAAATGAAACAGAGAGGCAGGAGAAGAATTTGAAGAAATGAAGCATTTAAAAAAAGAAAAAGGAAAAAATTCTGGTACCAAGTGAAAATAATAAAAGTGAATGGGATGACAGGAATTGCAGGGAAATGGAATGAAGCTTGCCCAAATAATCCTCACTGAAGTGTTGAAATCAGAGAACAAAATCCAACAAATGCTCTGGAAAGGAGATACAATCAAAAACAATGCAATTGAAAAAACCCAGAAAATTTAAAAATGGAGTGACTACAACCAAAAGGACTGAGATTAAATAAGGGGCAGTGCAAATGACCAAAACTTGCCAAAATTACTCCAAGTAAAATCCTGAAATCAGAGAAGAAAGGTAAACAAAGAGAAAGGAGAAGAACCTAAAGAAATGCTAAACAAGAAAAGGAAAAATTCCGGTACCAAGTGAAAATAATAGTGACTGGGATCACAAACAGTGCAGGGAAATGGACTGAGGCCTGCCCAAATAATCCTCATTGAAATCACAAGATTTCATTCCCTTTCCTGAAAGTGGAGATTACTAAAACCCAAGAGCCTGTGTGTGGTGAACCTGGAGGGTCAGTGAAAAAGCTGTATAGGTGGGGATAAAAATGTCTTGCTCAGTTTTGAGAGGTGGCTTTACACAGATAAAACGCTTAAAGGACACAATAACAGGATTCCAAAGTATTTTCCTCTTGTTTTGGTTGGTTTGTATGAAGAAGATGAAAGCATGAAAGCAGGCTAGATCCCCTGTCTCCAAAGCAGCTGCCCTGCTCCTGACAGCTCCTGCCCTTCCAGCACACACTGGACATGTTTGTGGGGCTGTACCTCTCCCTCACCCTTGAGCAGAGACATATATGAAGGATGGACAAAACATATGTCGAGGATATGCATGACTTAACTTTCTAAATTTTTTTTTAATTTTATTTTTGCTTTCAGGCTTTTATCTATTAACAAATTCCATGAATACAGAAAATCCCAAAGCAGAAGGCATTGGTCTTAAATGGTTTAAATGACAGCATGTTGAGTCATGGCCAGGGGAGACTGATTTCCATTTCCCAACGTAAGGATGTGTGTTCAGGACTCTCAGATCTGATCTGCCCTCTGTACCTGTCAGGCTCTCTCCCCTGACTAAAGGAACATGGTTCTCCAAAGATGTCTTTAATCTAAGCACCTCAGTGAGGAGATTAGGTGTAATCAGGGTCTTATTAAATATACAAAGCCAATTACAATGACTCATTTTTCTGCACCATTACCTAGCATTTGCCAATATGCAAAGCACAGGGATATTTGAGCTAAAGTTTGGAAATTATTACCGAATACTGACAATAATTTGCTCTCAGATATCAGTCATATTCAGCAGAGCGTGACTGCTGCTGTCACTTTGAATTTCTTCAGCCAGTGACAGTGAACCATCTCTACTAGTCCAGCTCAGGGAACGTGATTCCTCCCAGTGTGAGTGTTTGGCTATAAATCACATGGGGGGGAAAAAAGAAACCAAAACAAAACCCATCATTTTTTCCCAATGGCCTAGGTTTGCTGCTTCACTTTCAAGATCGAAAGTTATTTGCGCCAGCAGGGGAAGCGGTGAAAGTCAAAGGATAAATTTATTAAGTCATGCACCAGTGCCCTCCTGCAGTTTGAGTTGTACCTGGGAGCTATTCAAGCCAGGAAGCAGGGGCAGGGGAGAAGGGGTGCACACCCAGGAAAGCAAGGGTAGCTGAAAAACAATCAACAACATGGCACGACACAATATGATTTCCATTTGGAGCTAGTTATTGTCAAGCTTCTGAAAACAAGGATTCCAGAGAGACACCATTGAAATTGTCCAAGGTTGTTGGGTTTTTTTCCCCTCCTGAAAAGTGGCAGCAGCTGAGCAGAGAGGCTGACCCTGCCTTCCCTCTTTGGTGTCCTGGTGGTCTTGCAGGTGGCACTGGAGCCACACAATGCAGCAGCTCTCTGGGGAGGAGCAGCCTTCCAGCACTGTGCAAGCAAAAGAGAAGAAGGGCCAACATAAAAATTCTTCTAGGTGGAATTTTAGACCAATCCATTCCTTTGCTTTCTTTAAAAGCCATGCTGGGTGTAAGTTTAGAGTTTTTTTTTCTGTTTGTTTATTTACAGCTTTAAGGGACATGGGTGTTTTCTGTGCTGGTAAAAATACAAATGATGGGAATATTGCATCCTGGTGAACTTCTGACCTAGAGTGCAAGGAGTGGTGTGCAGAAGCATGCTTCCAAAGCATGCTCTTGAGCATACACTTGTAATGACCTGGGAGGGTGGAAAGAGCAACACCCAGAGAAGCAGCATGGGAGAAGAGAGAAGGATGGAAACTGAAGCTCTGTGGTCTCTGCTTCATACTCATCTGGATGTGATACCTGCAGCCTGAATGTCCTTTTACACGAGGAAACCACAAACTTCAGTGACTCTGCATGTGTGAGTAAAGATTGCTGGAACATTCTTTCTGAAATTGCAGTAAAATGCAGGTATTAGTGAGTTCACCTTGGAGGTATTTGGACCCACACAAGCCAGAAGAATTAGTTATGGGGAGCAAACAGCAGGGATGAGTGAGCTCTGGGTTTCAATGGATGTGTGCAAACTCAGAGAGTCTTGTAGGAAATGGCTTGGTGAGGAGGCACAGCACAACCTACCCATCCCAACTGAAAAAATACTCTTACAAGTCTCTGTAAAAGAACTTCTGTTGCTTAAAATGACTTATAGCATCCATCTGGTGCTGCCTTTACCAATGTAACTGGTGCCAACACGTCAGCCCAGTCACTGGGCTGCCTCTGGCCAGGCACACACAGTGCCTCAGTTTCTCTGGCTGCTTGACCTTGGGCAAATAACAAATCACTGACTCTGTGTACCTCACTTTCTTATCTCTCAAGCAGAGGTGGAGGTGGCTGGGATGGCAATAGCCTTGGGTGCCTTGCAGCAGTGCTGGGAAGATAATTCATTAATGAGACACCCATCTCTCTGCTGTGCTGGTAGCCACGTAGACAAATAGATGTGAAAGCATTTTGGCTGTGAAAAAAGGCAGAAAGTGATCCATACATAAAAACGGGCCTGTATCTCTTGTTAACACAGAGGAAAAACTGAAATGCTGGAATAAGAGGATGGTGATTTCCCCCCTCTGTTTTTATCCTCACCAGAAGTCCGTGAGCCATTTCAGTGCTGGAGAAAGTGTGGATTGGCATCACTGACATCAGAGTGCAGCTTTCTGATAAACCCTCACAGGGACCTCCTGCATTTGCCCTGGCCAATCTTGCACTGAAACCACTTGAGTGAGGCAGTTTGTTATGTAACATGCACAAATTACAAGCAATGATCAAACCTTACAAGGGAAAAAGATCAGACTGTGAGACAGCAAGTCATTGCAACAAACTGTAATACAGAATTAAGGGCTAGCCAAGGAAGGATTTTGGTATAAATCAAATATTTCTGTTTTCCTGGCAGCTCTATGACACACATGAATTTATTTTCTGTTATGAGCTCCATGTGGTCCTTCTGAGTCAGGCAAGTTGCCACACACTAGCCAAAAGGATTTGCTGCATGAAGCCTCTGTGAATTAGAGGACAGACATGGGAAGGCAAGGAAAATGTATATTCATGTGTTCAACCAGAAGTAGAGATAAGAACAACAACAACAAAAAAATACAACAACAACAACAACAACAACAAAAACCAAACAAAACCCCAAACAAAACAAAAAAGCAAAGAAACTTAGAAGAACAATCTAGGAGAAGAGGCTTCAGAGAGCCAAAATTTTTAAGCCCCCACTGTGGCATGATTTGCATTGAATTTTGTAGCTGTCATTTGGGAGAGTAACCAGAAAACTGAATTCAGAAGTAGCAAATGATTGGCATTTAAAACAGAGCATTTACCTGCAATGCCTGCAGTCACTGCTGCTCTAAGGGTATTGGAGAGATGTGGGAGCCTCACACCCCACTCAGCAGCATTTCCAAAAGGAAGGAGGAATTACACAGCTGCCTCTACAGGAGAGCAAACTCCACAGGTTCAGGCATCCAGTGGCACAGCTTGCACAAAGGAGAACTTCTCCAGCACAGGAGGGACACTTCAGGCTGTTGGCAGACTTCTTTAGTATCTTTCCTTACTTTATCCAGTCATAATTAAGTGGTGGTTTTAATCTTCAAAGCATTTTATAAACCTTACCCAATTAATCTTTGTAACACCTCTACATGGCAGGTAAATCTTCATTAAGTATTTTTGATTCCTGATTAGGCACCAGATAATAATTTAAATAATCCAATTTAGAAAACCTAAAGAACAAAAAGAAAAGTTTTCTCCCTTTGCCAAAACAAGAGAACAAGCCATTATTGTTGAATCCAATGATGTCTCCTTCCATTTGCTTGGGGTTTGGAGTATCAACCAGTTTGATTGATTGGAAACTGTGGTTCTTCATAATTGCACAAAGAAATCAAGCTCGATTGTTCCTGTCACTTGGGTGTTGCTGAAATTATGCTGTTAAAAATAAGTAGCACCATATGTGAGGAATGCATTGTTTTAGTTGGATGGAGATGGAAGGCTTTTTGGTGTGCTGCTGGTTGGCAGTTAAAGCATTATGATTTTGCATCTGTTATCCACTCAAAACTTTACTTTAGCTTTTTTTTATTATTATTATTTCTTTGTAGTTAGTTAAAGTAAATAAGTTTGG